GAGGCACCTGATACTGGTTACTGGAGGTAGTTTTTATTTTGCAAAAGGTTCCTTACTCTGGGTTTGTCAGTTTGATCTGCCTGGTACAATTTCACAGGAATGTGAAAGATAAGTAGAGTTCTTGAAGTCATACAGAAGCAGCACTGCTCTCTTGGTTAAATAGTGCTCTCATTTTACAAGAGAAATGGTCTAAAGGAACATAAATACAGTATTTTTGGACCACTGTGTAAGTAGTATGCATCTTGTATGCAAGTTTTGAAGAGTATCGTTTTAAGGAAAGTTCACCTTGCAGTGAAAAAACACCAAAACCAAAACCCACACAAAAAACCACAGAACTCAAAAACCCAACATCCCATTAGAAATACTTTGAGTATGAAAACAGCTCATTTTGTAACTCCCCATCCATTGTACAGGTAGCAAACAACAGTTCTGGGGTAGAGTGCCAGTCTCAATTCCCTACTCATTTCTCATCATCTGTGAATATGCCCACTTTCTCTTGCAAGAAGTCAACTGATTTGGCTAATAAACATCAGTTTTATCCAGATACCGCGTTCACTCCTTTCCCAGGACATTTGCTCATCTTAAGTAGAATAGAAACTATTTCAGTGCTTGATTGTATTCTGTCAAACAAGATGCTCTTTCAGCATGGTCATTGTTGTCTTTGGAGCCTTACAAAGGCTGAAAGGAGCAGATTATGTGTAATTCAAAGTAAGGTTTATCCTTTAACCCAAGAAAAATGTTTCCCTGGCACTGGAAGAACTGTCATCCCCACATATCGTCACGTTTCCAAAGGATAAATACTGTTGAGTATTGAAGTGCGGATTAGATGACTATTCTAGTCTGGCTGTTACTCAATTCCTATCTGTCTGCTAGTTCTGCTCAGTAATAGGGTTTCTACAGCTCTGCTCTCTACAGCTTCCTGAGGAGGTGATGTGGAGAGGGCAGCGCTGATCTCTTCTCCCTGGGATCCCGTGACAGGATGCTTGGGAATGGTTCAAAGCTGCACCAGGGGAGGTTTAGAGTGGACGTTAGGAAACATTTCTTTACCAAGAGGGTGGTCAAACACTTGAACAGGCTTCCTAGAGAGGTGGTCAATGCCCCAAGCATGTCAGTGTTTGAATTGGTCAGGCAGTTGGACTAGATGATTGTTGTAGATCCCTTCCAACTGAAATATTCTATTCTACCAGTTTCCCAGTCAGAACTTGCCTTTACTGTATGTAATTTCCACATCATTCCTGAAATATGCTTTAAAATTAGTGTCATCAGTTGATACCTTTGTTTCTCTGACAGTGAGGGTAGTTTAAGCAACAGATTGATAAACGGTTAAGCATAGAAAACTGGTATTTGATATCTCTTAGAATGCTTGGCTAAATGCCATCTGGGTTTTGCAGTTTGTTACTTCTTTTTATCAGTTCTCATAAACTTTCGTTTTCTGACACTTTGACTTCCTTGGACTCATTTTTAGTGAAGAAAAACTCTAGTGTGGGATGTCCTCTCACCTCTTCTCTGATCCAGAGAATTCATTTAGTGATACTGTTATGGTCACATTCTCCTTGCTAATCAGCCTTGTTAATTCTCTGGAAGGCTTCTTTTCTCACATGTAAGCCTTTAACGGTTCATTGGGCAGTCTAAGCATACCTTTTCTCAGTTAAACTTACTGAACTAGTGATCATTAACAACTAATCCACTTGCAGGTCTTATTTTAAGGTCACTTGCAGAATGCTGACCTGTAGAGAGCAGAAGACACTCAGGCAGTGGGGACTGTGATACACAGTCTGGAAGGTACAGAACAGCTTCTTGTTTCTCTTTTTCAAACACAAGCACTTGTGCTGGAGCCAAGTTCTGATGTGAGCTCATTTGTCTTGGAGCAGTGCTAAGCCTGGCCTGGCTGTCCGTATGTGCTCTATGGAGAAGAGACTCTGTTGACCTCAGGTAATTCTCCATCCTTCAGAACCATGTAGGAAAATTAGTTTAGTGGATATTTTAGCACATTAGTTAGTGGGAGAGGATTTTTTTTTTTTAATCTTGGAAATAAGAGGTGGAAAAACTGCTCTCCTCTAATAGCATGGTACCAGCTTTCTAACAAACTTTCTTCTAGTAGATTTTTGCAAGAGATTTCCTTTTAATGTTTTGCTTCCTTGATGCATGACGTGAGGGGTCTGATGGGCAGAGCATGTGAGGGGTTGTTGATACTTCCAAATACAGCCATTACTTCAGATCTTTGGTGACTCTGGAACTACTTAGTTTTGGATATAAAACTGGAAAATCTTTCTACTTTTTTCATTGAAAGGCTTTTCAAGAATCTAACTTCAGCAGCATAAGCTGTGACGTTGATTTAATCTGTTCCAAAGAGTTTTTCTACCAGAAATTATTTCTGAGAGTTTGTTTTGATGGTATCATAATCAGTATTTACAGCCTTAGCTGTGTTCAGTATTTTGCAGGCATAGGTGGATAGGGGACATAGTGTCCACAAAGGATTCTCAGTCCAAAAGAAGCCAGAGAATAGATAAATTTTCCAAACACCTTAATTTATAGCTGAAGGCACTATCTTGTGCTGCTGCTGGGCTTTTTTTCTGTGTTCAAAATAAAGTTGAAGGTAAAAGCAGAGTAAAAATAACAGCAAGGGTGAAACTAAAAGTAGAGGGGTTAATGAAAAATCAGAGATTGTATATGTCAAAAGATGACCATCAGACAGTCAGGATTCAGTTTACAGAAGAGGAAAGTGGTTGTTCTAGAGCACTTGGGAGCTTTCCCGTGACCTAACAGGTACATTGAGGATGTTGCTAAAATTATTTTAGGACAGGCTGACCATTGAGTATGCAGGAAGAGATCACTGAAAGGAAAAGCAGAGGCCAGACTGAGTAAGTGAGTAGACTTGCTTGTAGAGTTAATTTGTTGAAAGGTTTACCTATTTAGAATAAAAAAAAAAAGGTGAGGGAAGCAGCTTTTGTTTGATCAAAGTAAGGCAGGCTTTGTGAAAATAATCAAAAACTTGTGTTGCAGAGTAACTAGAACTTGGCAATTTCAGTGCAATGGATTAAAAACAGTTTGTCAGTGCTCAGGGGCAGAAAGAGGCAACACCAAGAAGTGGACATGAATCCATGAATGAAACCTGTTTTTTAATGAAAAATGACCCCTGAGATCCGAGGGGAGCATGTGAAGAGACAGCAATACTTAGGTGTAGCCTGGCTGTATGATCCTAGAGCAATACTTAAGAGGAGGCGGTCCCCTAGCTGTACTGGAGTGACTGGAAGAGACAGTCCTTGTAGAACTCACCAGATGGATTGTGTATCTTCATTGGAAGCATTTTTACTTGCTGGTCTTTCCCTTACACCAGTGTAATCCCATTTCTAGGAAGCAGTCACCATTTTAGCAGATTGCCCTAGAGCTTTGCATCCTCTGCTTTTGCTGCTGCTGTTTGTTCATCCAAAAGAATAAGAATCAATATCAGCCATATCCATCTTATCCACAGTCTTAGAGAAGGGCTTGGTAAGAAAACTTGTGAATGTCCCTACTGGTGTATTCAAGAAGGGCCAGAGAGATCTGAGCAGGCTAGTATAATGCATTTGGAGCATGAATGGAAAATACTTGTGCAATACTTTAGAAAGAAATGAAGTAGAAATAATAGAGGACTGTGTTCTTGAATGTAGTTATCTAGGAGAGCACATGTATAGTAACCAGCTGACCTGAGGACACAGAAGAAACCTTCAAGTTGTAGGGCACATCCCAGAAACCTGAACATCTCTATTTAAACCCCTCAAATAACTTCAATTACAAGTGACCTTTCTTTCTTCTCCAGCCATGCTGAGAATGTCACTACCCATTGTCACTGTTCCTTTGGCTTGCTCTGTGCAGTGAGCAAAGCAGTAAATAGGAATGTGATCTCTGTGGTTGCTCTTCAGAAGGGCAGCAGTGTAGCTGACAACTGGGTCACTGTTATTGCCTAGAAAGTTGGCCCAGCCATAGAGACAAGCAGCAGTGCTATTGTCAGCGAAGAAGTACTAGAGATGCAAATTTTTAGATATCTGAGCAGAAAAGATCATTTGCTGTCAACAGCCAAAGATCCTGTGTAGTGAAGGGCACCGTATTGATACCACAGTGGTGTCCTGATTGTGAGCATTGTAAATACCAAATATGTTTTTGATGCTGCTAATCCTCATGGGTTCTCCCACATATTAGGATTGTTTTGCTGCGCATTACTGAGTCCCATGTGCCTCTGTGCTCCCTTTACCCAAGTGGGAATAATGCTGTCTGTGTGGTGAATCTGCTTCACAGGAGGTGAGCAGGGATAGAGCTATAGGGCTGGGGGAGCTGAGCTGCTGTTTGTTTGAGAATTTGGTGAAGGATTGTCCTGTAGTAGGGTAGGGGTCCCTCTGCCATCTAATACTGTAGTGTCTTCCATGTCACCTGTGTTGATAGGAAAGTTTGATTATAGGGTGAGTGTGGAGGAACACTGGCTATTGGTCAATTTTTTTATAATACTACAGGTGTGTGTGGAGCCCCTTTCAGGTTTTTTGCAATTACCAGTCCTAGAGGGGAAGGATGGTAGAAGTTTCCATTCCTCTCAGCAGCTAAAGGTAGAAAACTACTGTTTTGAAGGTAACGTGAGAAAACAGAGCCCTTCAGCAGGCCCTTAAGCAAACAGTCCCAGCGTATCCCCTTCTCCAGTTGTTAGCCTCTTTCTGGCATTGTATCATGTTCTCTTAGGAGCTGCTCTGTTCATTTTGTAAATTAGCTATTTTTCACCTGGAGAAGTAAAGCTTGAAATGCTTCGTGTCCTGTTAGCTTAATTCTTATTGTAAAAAGTCCTGTTTTATCTGTTGTCAGAAGGAATCTGCAGGGAGGAAAAGAAAATTACAGTATTTTCATATTTTCCCCAAAATAATTCTGCTTACCTTTGTGTAGGTTTGGTCTGTAGCTCTAATAGAGCATTATCTCTAACACTAATAAACTTTTTATTGAATGTTTTGATACTATATTTTCCTTTTGTTATTTTCCAGGGCAGGGAAACCACCACCTGGCTTACATCTGGATGTAGTCAAAGGAGACAAACTCATTGAGGTATGAAAATCGGTTTTCTATGTATTTGGTGTATCATATACATAGGCACCAGCATTAGAACATTTCCCAGCATTTGCCACACTTATAAGTATTTCCTTTCTCTCTCATATTTATAATTTTCAAACCAGTTTGGTTTACTCTGAAACTTGAGAATGAAGTGAATTTTCCCTTGCTTGTATTCTAAGGCTGTCTCGTGCTATGCAGTGCTTTCATCAGTTATCTTCTGATTAGATGCGCTATTTGAAGGGATACAAAACTGCAGTGCTCAGCTAGCAAACAAGGGCACTTTGATTCCTGAACATTAAACCTGTCCTAGTAAAAGGGAGAAGAAATAAAATGTTTGTAAGGGAAGCTCAATACTTTGCAGAGCCTTATTTCTTCCAAACTTAATTTTGGATCAAAGTTGACATTTTGTTTCCTACAAGGTACTTACATATGAGGTATCAGACTGCAGCCAGAAGGCACGTTGTCTTAGGAACTTCAGGAGCAGAAACTCTAGTAACATGGGGAAAGAAATCTCAAATACAAAAGAGTAAGAGTGAAAAAAACTCTCCACTTTGTACTGCTAGTTCAAGATACTTGTCTGGTCAGTTTATTTTTTATTTTGTGTTAGAGTAAGGTTAACTAAGCATCCTGTATTTTATAGGATTGTTGCCCTGTCCTACAGTATGATTTTTCATCCCATGTTCTAAATCTGTGAACAGTGCTGTGATTAGCACAGATACAATAAGTTATTTTTATTACAACAAAGGAATTTGTCTGATACACATCACTTCATTTGCTATTTCATTTTTTGTCTTATATCGCACTAAAAGTAGTAAATAAAGGCTCTCTAACATGTTTGACAGAGGGGACCCAAGCCAGTGAATGTATTTTAGCTGTGGAGAAACTCCTAACTTGCAATCAACTGAAACAGAGAAATGTTTGTGGGCAGCAAAAGTTTGCAAAGTTGAGCCAACTTTTCTGAACAGAAACTTGGAAAATTAAGAACTCTGTGTTAGATCAAGAAAGATTTAGGTAGCTTAAAATCTTGGCTGGTTTTTGATGTATGTGTTTTGGGTTTGTGTGGTGGGGTTTTGGTAGCAGGGAAGGGGCTGCAAGGGTGACTCCTGTGAGAAGCTGCTAGAAGCTTCCCTCGCTCCAAGTCAGACTCACCGCTGGCCAAGGCTGAGCCCATCAGCAACAGCAGTAGCGCCTCTGGGATAACATATTTAAGAAGGGAAACATGCAGCAGAGGGAGGAAGATGGGAATGTGAGAGAAACCCCTGTGTAGATCCCAAGGTCAGTGAGGAAGGAGGGGAGGAGGAGCAGGGAAGGAGGGGATGCCCCTGCAGCCCCTGGGGAGACGGCAGGCTGTCCCCCCCCAGCCCATGGAGGGGAGTGGGAGAGCAGATGCCCACCTGCAGCCTGTGGAGGAGCCCATGCCAGAGCAGGGGGATGCCCCCCAAGATGGCCAGGACTCCATGGTAAAGCCCGCGCTGGAGCAGTCTGTGACTGAAGATCGGCCCGCGGAAAGGACCCATGCCGGAGAAGTTCATGGAGAACTGTCTCCTGTGGGGGGACCCCACACTGGGGCAGGGGGCAAGCGAGGAGTCCTCCCCCTGAGAAGGAAAGAGTGGCAGAGACAAGGTGTGATGAACAGCGACAACCCCCATTCCTTGTCCCCCTGTGCTGCTGAGGGGGATGAGGTGGAGAAAATTGGGAGTGGAGTTGAGCCTGGAAAGGAGGGACACATGGGGGACGGTGTTCTAAGATTTGGGTTTACTTCTCATTATCCTTGTTTTGATTTGATTGGTAGTAAATTAAATTGATTGTGTTTTTTCCCCAAGTTGAGTGTGGTTTTTGCCTGTAACTGTAAGTGGTGAGTGATCCCTCCCTGTCCTTGTCTCAACACACGAGCATTTCTTTGTATTTTCTCCTCCTCATCCCACCAGGAGTGAGCGAGCAGCTTCATGGTGCTTTTTTGCCAGCTGAGCTTAAACCATGACTGTATGCTATCACAGGAGCATCAGACAGTATTAAGTGTTCTTTCTGGGTGTCTAGCAGGAGAGTTTTACTGTTTAGAATTTGGTTAAGCTACCAGAATATGCTTTGCATAGGAAAGCAGATAGAGATGTTACAAACAGGTATCTCACAAATCAACTTGTATTTTCCCAGGCCAGAAACGAGTAAAATGAGGCTTTCCTTTATAGTCCATTAGTGTTGGGTTTACAGAGTGTTTTGAGAGTGCGCTCTTATCCTGGATTTAAAGGCACAGAAAATTGGCAGAGCCAGTCTTGACTTAAGAGATCTTTGTTCAGCCTTAATTTGAAAGGAATTAGATACTAACACACATTTACTGCATCTTCAGAGTGGCTCATTAGTTCATACAAGACATGACTGAGTTGGTTCATACCTGCTACTTGGACTATGTTGGAGCTATCCTTCACTGGCTCTTTCTAGGCACTAGAGCTTTCAGATCCTTTGCGTTGTGTTTGTCTTCAAACCATGGACCATGTATTCTGCTTCTTTTGGTACTATTACATGTTCAGAATCATTTTCAGAGGTCAGAGAGCTGTAGTAAGACTGTTTCTTAACTCAGCCTTCTCATTGCCACTCTAGCAGTAGCGTCTGGGGTAAGGATTGTACTTGGCAGTGGGTGTTCCAGTATTTCTTTCAGGCCACATAATGAGATTCAGTGAGCAAAGCCAAATGGCAGTGACTGGGTTTTTGGTATGTGGCAGGTGGCCAAGCATAATGCAGCCTTCCCACCTGGGAGGCTTATTCTCCAAGATGAGTTTTTTCTTGTCATGGTTCTTTTGGATTTTTGAGTCTGGAGAGCGAGCTTTAGGGTGAAAGAGTTTATATGGAGCTCTCTGCTCAATTAATCCTCAGGTGCTAGGCAAATGACTGTCATGGGAGTCCTGGTCAGGACTGAAAAAAAAGCAGCAAAATGCCATATGGAAGCTGAGGATGCACCACTGGTTTTTGCAATGGATGAGCAAATTTGGTGTAGATAAATTGACAGTCAGGAAAATCATCCTGGTGGTGTTAGACTCTGAGGCTGTGCTGCCCAAAGCTTTTGGGCCTACAGGAGGTCCCAAGTTGTCTTTGTAAGCCTGGGGTCTCTGTCTGTATTGGGAAAGTGGGTGGTATAAACATCCTGATTCCCTCTTCCTACAATCAACTCTCTTGACAACCTAAAAGAGGTTCTTTTTGCTGCCGTGCAGAGTACTGTTAACAGGCATTGCTAGTCTGCTATTCAACTACTCCAAGGTTCAGTAGAGGATGTGGTCACACAAAGGTTACAGAATGACTGCAGAGTTTGTGTTTTACCTCCTGAATATCTGATGTTGACTATCAATGTTACTGAGATCAGTGAGGTACAGCTTGCCTGCCATTCAGTGTGTAATATGTGTGCTGAAGCTGTGGCAAGCAGTGACCAGGCGCAGGCACCTATGTGTGTAGCACAGAGGGTCGGCCTTGCTGTTGTACTTCGGTCTGCTGAAGTAAGAATTGGAAGAGCTGGCTTGGTGGGCAAGTTTTAGCAGACTGTTCCATGTAGCATGCGTGCCTGCTTGTGGCCTTGCACTCTGTATAATACATAGGTGATGATTTAAGTCCTCTAGACTGTGGTGGTTATGTGAAACAATGTATTGTGTGTATGTATGGGAACTGTGCAACAAATTAACAGCATTTGAATATGATCCATCTGTTTCACTGTTAGGTACATGTGGCAAATAGTTCTTCAGTTTTGTCTTTTATGGTAGACAGCAGTAGCCAAGAAAGAACATTCTTAAAACTTGTGGATTACTGAGCACTTGATACTAACCGAGCCATCTGTATCCCAGGTCTTGTACAGGGGTCTGAGGTACACCTTGTGATTGCTAGGTCTGAAAAGTGCAACATTAAAACAAGCCCTGAAGTGTTTAAGCTCAGTGTATAAAGGATGACACTGGGTTATAACTCAGAGGCACAGAAAATTTTGGAAACATTATCTTGAAGTAAAGGCAATAAAATTATTTTCTCTTGATGATTTGTTGCAATATTTCCAGTTTATGAATTTGTGTCTTTGCAAAATCTCTTGAAATGCTATCAAGTGAGAATGGTATTGTTTTGTGTGTAACAGGTGCAAATGAAAACTTACAGGACACTTTTGGTTTCAGCTGTGGACAAGAATGAGAAATTGTTTGACCAATTTTTATGGTACTTGAAATTGTGAGAACTTCTTGCAGAGCTGAGCACTGAAATGTGGAGTAATGTCAGCTTCAGATCCACTTGTTTGTATCAGAGTTGTGTTTACACAGGATTATTTTTTTTCAAATACATAAGAATAAAAGGAGAAGTTAGTGCTCATCTTACAAAGTGGAATCATAGAATTCATTAGTACAAAGGTATTGAATTTGGGAAGACTCAGAGTGCTGAACTGAATGGGTAAAGTATTGCATAACATTGGACGTAAATCCATTGCTATGAAGTTGAACCCCAGAAAACCTAACCAGCGTTTCTCAAAAGATGTAACAAATACTGTGGTATTCACAGATCAATAGCTGGATGAAACAATGGTAATCTTAAGGGAAAAACATCAGTGAGACTAATGGAATGATAGCTGTTGATTAAGGCTTGCAGAGAAAAGCGTAACAAAAATACACTAGCATGAAGGATGTACAGGGAGGAGATTCACTGATCTATATACAAGTGGAATAAAAAAAAAGCGAAATAATATTCAACCAGAAAGGACTGAGGAAACCATGTACTACTTTAAGCTCTTTATCAGTGGTTTATACTTTCTGGTAATTCTAAGAGGAGGGTCTTGTGAAAACCAGCATTTGTAAAGAGACAGAAAGGGATAATAAAGGAGCCAGGTGAAAGCAGAATCCGGTAGACTGTTTCAGTATATTGATTTCTTGGGTTTTTTATCTGAATTATACTGAGGCTTTGAGGTATGCTGTTCCCTGCCAGACACAAATAGATTCAGAGGAGACACCCACATGTTTTAAATGTCCCAACTGCAGGAAAATCACTTGCATTTTTGCATTTGTACCTCACTTGTCACCAGATAATGTACTTGAAGGTGAATTGCTAATTAAGCTGTGATTCCTGTCTTATCAAATGAGACATGGACTCACAAAGAAGATTTTTTTTTTTTTTTTTAGTTTAAGTATTCGCACTCTTGTGGATTTTTCTGCCAGCCTATGTATCACTGAGGGTACTGATGAAGTCGTCATTCTATCTAGCTGTTTGTTTTCACAGAACTTCTTGAAATTTAGTATCTTGTAGTGCTGGTTGAAATTGGCCGGTTGGTTGAGAAGTTACTTGGTTTCGCAGTGGGTGTCAGGAGCTGATAGATCACCTAAGTCTTGTTATTTTAAGAAAGCAGGCCAAAATACATAAGTCAGTAGATTTCACAAAGCATTTACCCTCATGAAATCGTGCTTAAAATGTATGCTTTGAGTTAGCTGGGAATAAGACATTAGCAGACTATTATCTAAGGGAACAATTAATTGTAAAGTCGTCATGATGTATACTAGTATGGAGTTGTTCAATTAATTCTTCTAGTGACCTAAAAGAGAGAATAAACATGCAGAAATAAATCAAATACTTATTACTGAATACCAGATTATGAGAACTTCCAGCATGGGGCTGACAGATGTTCAGCAGAACAATGAGAAATCCAACCTAGAAAATTTAGAACACATCTGGAGGGGAAATGAAAAAAAATCAGTGGGGAAGTGACATCTGAATGCAGCAGTGCTAAAAGTCCTGAAGTTCATAATTCGTGGGCAGGTAAATAGATGTAACATTGCAAGGTGACATGCAGTAGAAAATGAGGTCCATGTCATTTTCATGCTTGCAGGTAAGGCAGAGGAATATAAATACTATGTCTTATCCAAGCTGCCTCCTTATTTTTTATATGACTTGGTAGTGCCACAGAATAAGTAACTGTGTAGGTGCTCATTGTGTCAGTCTTTCTGATAGCTCAAAAAAAACCCCCAAACCAACTACCTGTAACCTGTAACTGATACATTGGCTCTTTCTAGCTGAGCATGTAGTTTATACAGGTGGCAAAACTGAGGAGCAAACAGCTGATTGACATGAATGCTGCTGCCAGAAAGGGAGGTCCTTCCTCATCACACAGTCCTAGTGCATATAATCCACTGCTTCACTAGAGCCAGCTGGGATACGCATCTGACTGAAGGCAAACTGATTCAGTCCACTAAAACAGTAGAAGACTAATGCAGCAATAAAGTGCTTTGCAAGCTGAAAACTTTGAGATGTGTGGCAGTGCAATTGAGGAGAGGATTGTATAGCTGGGAATGGAAGGAGGGAGAGGGGAGAAATCCTCATGCTCTAGCAGGTAAAATGTTAACTGAGCTCCCACCATCTCATGAAAGCAATGCTTTCCTGAACTAAAGTCTTTTTTTTCTGATGGAAAATGTATCATCAGCATTCCCTTGATCATGCTATTGAAACATGGTGTGGGCTTTGGTAAACGTTTCAAAAAGCAAGAGAAGCCATCTGTTAATGAATCTGTAATGCATTGCTTGCCTTTGACTTGTGCAGCTGAAAGCAAAAAAACACAGGTTGGATTAAGATCCTGGAATACAGTAAGAAAGAAGGCTTGCACTGCTTAGGTACTTCAGCATTTAGGCACAAGGAGTTCCTTTCAACATTGTCTGTTAATAGAAATAGTCTGTGTACACTGTAGAATTGTGTCAACATGTTCCTTTGCTTTTCAGAGATAGTTTATGTAACCGATATTACAGTATGTAAGATCTTTTTTGAAGAAGAGATTAGAACTAGGATGAATTAAGAAGAAATGCCTAAAATTAATGGCTTACTTGAATAGACTAATATAGATTCATATCACAGGACATATTCAGCATAGTTTTACATCTTTGTTATAAAGGTCTGAAATCTCCTGTATGTCCATTTCTATACAGAAATATAATTTTGATGTTCTGTATCAGGCTGGAGATCATTTAGCATAGATTCCTGGTTTAGACACGGCCAAAGGTCATCTGCGTTGAGGAATGTGTAAAAATCATTGGGAGCAGATGTGAGAGAGAATCTCTTGTATGAGACAGTCTCAAGCTTTGAAGAGTTATTATCCATCCCAGGCTGTTTTATGTTGGCTGTTAAAGAAGGGAATAACTGGGACTTTTCCATATTCAGCTATTCTGATTTTACAAAGAGAAGGTTTGAGCTTCTGTATTTAACAGTGTCAGACAAACTGAAATACTGATTAGCTGTTGATGCTTTGTTTTGAATTTGCTGTTTATTCGTGTTCTTGAATTTTTTCAGGAAGATCCAAAAGATTATAGGAGTCTAATGTGCTTCTCTGTTTGATATTCTACCTCAGAAACTCATCATTGATGAGAAGAAATACTATCTCTTTGGGAGAAATCCTGATCTGTGCGATTTTACCATTGACCACCAGTCTTGCTCTCGGGTCCATGCTGCCTTGGTCTATCACAAACACCTCAAGAGGGTTTTCCTCATAGATCTAAACAGCAGTAAGTACTGTGACATTTAATCAGATAGAATTATGATATTTCAATGCTTAAACATTTCTGAATCTGAGACACTCCTTTTTTTTGGTGGTGGTGGTGGTGTTTGCACTGTGTGGATAGTTTACTATAATCTGAATTAGCATCCTAGTGAAAGATTGGCAAGGGTTAACAGCAAAGGACGATTTGCTCCAGTCAGCTTACATCTGCTTAGCTTGGTGTTTAAAACAACATTTCTAGACTCTTAAGAGGCTAAGGGAGAGGAGGAAAGTGACTTGGCCTTCGCTTCGCAATTTTAATGAAGCTTTCTCTTCTGAGGGTGGTTTCCCAAGATATAAAACCTGACATACTGTTTTTTTCCACTGAGGGAGTGATTCCAGACATGCTACATTGGGACCTACGAGAATCCAGAAAGTAAATGGTGTTTGTCATTTATTTCCATGACTTTTTGAGGACTTCTAATGTGTGTTATCATAGTTCGTGAGATGGTAGGTAAAATGTACATAGCTAATGTTTTCAGCAGTGCCTCAGTGACTTGTGTCTCAGAGCAACCATGTACAGTTTCTGAACTTCTCAAGAGTTGAACTCAAATACTGTGAGCCCAAGCTGATGATTAACAGGCTATTTTGCATTTTGATGTTCTCAGCACATGGCACATTCTTGGGTCATATCCGTTTGGAACCTCACAAACCCCAACAGATACCCATTGACTCCACAGTTTCATTTGGCGCTTCTACACGGGCATATACTCTGCGAGAGAAGCCTCAGACACTGCCATCAGCAGTTAAAGGAGATGAGAAAATGGGCGGTGAAGATGAAGAGCTCAAGGGCTTGCTAGGCCTGCCAGAGGAGGAGACAGAACTTGATGTGAGTACGATGACACATTGTACTTAGATGGCATTTCCAGCTAAACGGATAGCATTCCCCAGTCATTTCCTTAGGTTCAGGTTCTTAATTTCTTGGCCTTGAAGATAGCCCAAGGTGTCTTCTGCTGGCAGATATGCACAAACCATCTTGTTCTGCCATGAGAAGCCTGTGATCATGCTGCTTCCCAGAATCAGTGACCTAATAATCCTGCTATTCCAATGGTCTTCTCACAAAGGCTTGCCAGGGAATATGTGTTCTCCAGCTAACATTACCCCAGGTCAGGGGTGATTTTCTACACTGTTCCCCATTGCCAGATAACAGTGACTGCTGCCCTGTTTCCTACAGTTAGCTAGTGAAGAAGGAGAAAGCAGTGTATGTGGCATTCACAGGACTGTTGAGGTTGGAAGGGACCTCTTGGGATCACCTAGTCCAGCCCCCCTGCTCAAGCAGGGTTAGCTAGAGCAGGTTGCCCAGAATTGTGCTCAGTCAAGGTCTGAATATATCTGCAGGCAGAGACTCCACAACCTCTCTGGGCAACCTGTTGCAGCACTGGAGCACTCTTTCTTCCTAGGGGTCTCAAGTTGAAGCTAAACAGTGTGCTGTGGTCTTGTGATACGCACAATCACATGATTAAATCAGACTTCATACACTAGTTGCTTAAACTATTTCATCTCCAAATTTGTCCTTAGAACCTGACAGAGTTTAATACAGCCCACAATAAAAGAATTTCCACGCTAACCATTGAGGAAGGGAACTTGGATATTCAGAGACCAAAGAGAAAACGGAAGAACTCCAGAGTGACATTCAGTGATGATGATGAAATCATCAATCCAGGTAAGCAGTTTGCTTTAATCTTTAGTTGACGCCCTTAAGACCCTCTTTCCAGTATTCTCATAGGGATTCCTCATGGCTGCATATAGATAAGGAGAACAGAAGTTTGGCAGTCAGCATTTGGGATCTGCTATTTCAGAGAAGCTGCCATGTGTCTCACTTAAGTCTTTGACCTCTGTTTCATCTCTTCTACCTGTAAAATAACTGCATGATTTGTGCAGGACAGGGATATCTCACTCAGCCTCATTGTTCAAAATTCTATCAGATGTTGGAAAAATCTCATGGGTCAAAAGGAGGAAAGTGTTTTAAATTTTTTTGTCAATTTGAGATTCTGAATGGGAACTGAACTGTTTGGTTTTTCATATGTCCCTTAATGCTTTCCTTACCTCTTGCCTAATGGATATCTGTCTCGAGCTCAGAGGTTTTCTGCTACTTGTCTACATATCTGAAACAAGTCATCCTCATTAAAAATGATGCCTCTGAAGGTGTATCCAATTCCTAATTAGTCATTTTTCTCCCTTAGCTGTTTTATAGTAATGGCATTCCTATTAATGATATTTTATATGGCTAATACTCTTATTAATAAAAGAGTAGCTTATTAATGAGCATGCATTTTAAAATGCAGTCTGGAGCTAGTTTCATTTGGCAGTGTGTACCACCCCGAATAACCATTTTGGTTATAAGGTTATGCAGTTTAGTGCTCAGAACATCCTAATGTAAAAAGCAGTCATTCACATTACAAAAAAGGCAGTTTTTTCAGACTTTCAGAGACTCTACTTGAATTCTTCTGACTCCTCTTTCAAGGTCCCTCAAGGACTTCTGGGGCTAGCTGTTGTGCCTTTGAGCACATGCAGTGCCTTGTCAGCAGCAGCTCTTGGCCCAGAACTCCAGTCTGTCTAATCAGTGCAAACTGCCCATCCATCTGTTCCCCTTCCCTGCTCTCCATTTGAGTGGAAGCCTTTCTTACCAGAGTATCTGATGAGCCCACCTTGAGACAGAGCCACTAGGTGTCCTCTCAGCTCCTCGCTTTGTTTGGGCATGCTTGTGCTTACTGAGAGGTACTAGAGTGCTGGCTTTGAGAAGACGAGGTCCATGTACCAATTCTTCGTATAGGTTCCTTTACCTGACAGATGTTCTATTTTTTTCCTGTATTCTTACTGAAGGCTTCACTGTTCTTCCCTTTACAGAGGATGTGGACCCTTCTGTTGGGCGTTTCAGGAACATGGTACAGACGGCAGTAGTCCCTGTTAAGGTACAGAGTAACTCCCAACTTTCTAATGAATACATCACATTGATGAACTCACTTTATGAATTACACCTTAGAAACATAATGTTCTATGGTGGAAAGTGTTTTATTGTTAAGCAAAAGTCATGTTCATGTTTCACAATTGTCTTTTTAGCAGATTAGACCATTTCCCTTCAAATTCAGCTTTAGCTCTTTTCTTTAATAACACGTGGGATCAATGGCAACTTTTTTCCTCCCAAAAAGAAACAGTCCAGAAATTCAGTATGGTAGTTCTAGGCATCAATTAAAATTGTGGGAAGTGTGGAAAATAGAAAGTAAAAATGAGAGGTTGCTTGTTTAAATACTGTAAGTGCTAAAGATTTCATAAGGTTATCTGCTAGAACTAGCAGGGTTTACACTTTGCTTCAAGATCAGTGTGTTGCTGGTGCTGTATTTAATTTGAATTAGGAGTAGGGAAGATTTGCAAAACTTCAGGGTAGCTAAGCAACAGTGTAATAGCAATTTCACTTGTTGCTGGTATACACTAAATAATGTATGTGGAAAAGGATAATTCTACATAAACCCCAGACTGCAGGAGAAGATTCAAATGATCAGGAGCAAGACAAAATCACCCAAGTGATCTAGAAGTTGCAGTTTCTTACAGTGGGGGGAAGGAAGGGTCTGTGTTACTGACTAAAGACCTACTCGGTCTTGCGTTCAGGCCAAGCTCAAGACTGGAAAGCATGTTCAGGAGGTAATAGGTGCTCAGCGTGATCTAAGTTAAACCTGAGCTTCAACTTCTGTCACCCTTTCCTGCACTATGCACCTTTAAGAGTTTATTATTAAGTGGTTTTCAAGGAAACCCAGAAGAAATCTTCTGGGACAAAGACTGAGACATGGTCTGTAACCACTTTATGTGTGGCTGCTCTAGGTGCCTTTTGGGGGAAGATGGCATTGGCATCCAGTTTAAATAGCTTGCTTGTTCCATGTATTTTGAATAATTCTTTAAATACTTCTGCCTACAGAAAAAACGGTTGGAGAATCAAGGCTCGTTGACCACAGATGATTCTGCATCACGACGTATGCAAAACTTTCCCTACAGTGGAGGATTATATGGTGGTTTACCTCCAACTCACAATGAGGCAGGTTCCCAATCGCATGGTGTCCATGGGACAGCACTCATTGGTGGTCTGCCAATGCCCTACCCCAATCTTGCCCCAGATGTGGACTTGACTCCTGTTGTGCCCTCAACAGTTAACATGAACCCAGCTCCAAACCCTGCTGTCTTTAATCCTGAAGCTGTGAATGAACCCAAGAAGAAGAAATATGCAAAGGAGGCATGGCCGGGCAAGAAGCCAACCCCTTCCCTACTGATCTGAGTTGGGTTTTGTTGAGGGAGGGTGGGAGTTACGAACTCCAGAAACTGTTTATGTGCAGTATCGTCTTTTTAAAATTTCAATGTCCTAACCAGATGTTTTACCAAGATTGGAGAAGTGAAATATCCTTTAAAGATCTGTCTTCAAATGTTTTTATATGTCTGTTAAAAAAAAAAAGAAATACAGCTCCCATCTCCTTTTGAACCAAAATATCTGGCAGCCTTTTCTTAGCCATTACTGTCCCCAGAGGTCTTTACTCTGAATTTTGATCCGTAAGTTGAAGGGGCAGAGTCATACAATTTAATTATCATTTATGGCATGACCCTGCAAATTCATGTACTTAGGTGTCGTGCTTACTATGAGTAATGTTGTCCCTGCTCGACTTGCTCATAGCAGGTCAGCTGTATCAGAAGTAAATGTTTGTGGGGCCAAGTCTTCCAGAAATCCCATTGGTATGAGTTCTAAAACTTGCAAAATACATGTCAGCTTTTATTTTTTACATTTTCAAAACTTCACCAATGTGGGGTTTTTTTGTTTTGTTTTGTTTTTGTTTAGTTTGGCTACCGCTTGTTTTAATTTCTACCTAAAACACTACAGCATCCCATTAGTTCATGAGAATTTGGAGTTGAGATGGGCAAGAAATAGGTGGGCTTCCTTAGGTGTGGTCCAGTATTGTAGGATGGATTGCTGTGTGGACAGATAAAGGGGTGCACATTTGGATGGAACTGAGCTTGAGTTGGTGCTAATGGCAGCATACAGGCATGGCAAGCCTAGGAGCGTTTGGTAGATAGGCACTATCTACACTGTACAAACAATAAACAACAAAGTAGTGTTGACTTTTTTCCCCTGTGATAAGTTAAGGTGGAGTTAACAGAGAGGAGAACAGTTTCCTTTAAACTTGGTGACCCTTTTAACTTAGTTTCATTTTTATTTGCAAATGGAACTTGTGAGCTTAGAGTATGTGTGAGATGCAGCAAGACACATAAAAATCAGCAGCTATCAGCAGTGTCAGAGGACTTGCATGTTTAACAGCTAAAACCACAATCTGCACACTATTTTGGCTGCTAGTAACAGTGGGTGAGAACTGAGTGCTACTTCAAGCTAGAATATGAATTCTCAGTTGAGAATCTGCCTCGCCTTGAATAAAGCAGTGCACAAGTTGGTTTCGTAATACTACATTTTTTTACTACTTTGTCACTTTTTCCCATTGAATAAAATGAGAAGATTGATTTGGATTGTTGCTCTAGCCCTTCAAATCTTCAGTTTTAGATTTCAAAATCTGATTCACATGTATTCAGACACTATGTCTTTGTACAAGGTAAGGCCAGAGCTCTGTTGTTCTTACGTTTACTCTGGATTTTTTTACATTCTGTAATGCAGTTCAGCTACGTAGTCACATTCCTTTGTTGTTTGGGGGATTTCTCCAGAAAATATGCACTAAAATGATGGTATACCCAGCTGTTCATTGTGTACAGTACTGTAGCTAGGCTATTAGTGGTGTGAAAATCTGATGATTGCTGGAGCAGTGCTGTGTTATAGTGCATCTGGTGCGCTGTATGCACTAGACCTGTTTTGGACAGATGTTCCAAAATCAGTGTGAGCTCTGCATCTGCAGAGTGATTGCTTCTATCATGTTATTGAGGTAAAAATGAGCTAGTAGCTACCCCATTCACAAGAGCAATGGCTTTAGAGACTGGTTTGTTCCCCTCCCTGCACCATCATATCTAGCTCAAACTATTATATGGATGAATGCAGTACCTTCTCCTTTATATAGCTGTGCCACTCTGTGTTTAGTTGCTATTGAATATGATTCAGTCCTCAGACGTTCTGCTTCCAAACACTCCATGCTGACTCTTAAAATCTTTCTCCCTTTATTTTTAGTTTTGCTTCTTTCTGGTACATGGAATTTTCTTTTTCCAGCCAGTCTGCTTTATGAAGGCAACTCTTTAGGGTAAGACTAGTTAGGGCAAGTAGAAGTTGAACAGGTTTTCTTCTTCCTTTTTTTCTGTTTTTGGTTGGTTTTTTTTTGGGGGGGGGGGGGGGGGTTTTGGTTTTATGCAAGTGGCTCTTTGCAAGATTTTTCTTGAAAAGGGAAGCTTTACTGCTCATTGTTTTTAAAGCTCTTCTCCCTGAGTTTGAACAAGCTCTCATTATTTTAGAGCTTAGGGGCCATAGCTGGCCAGTACAGGAGGGGACAGTATAACATCTAGGGGCTTTGTACAGAAGTTTGTACACTTGTGTAATATGTAATAGGCCTTTTCACACTTTCTGTTGGGCTTTTTACCTGTAACCTTTACTATGTTGTAAATTAAATGCAGATTTTGCCAGTTTGGAGAGTGTAGTGTGTTCGTTCCCAGTCTACGCTTCTGCAGTTGAGACTGTACATTGTTTTGTGGTTTATTGAAGGATTTCTGCCATGGCAAAGTGCGGCTATCCACTGCAGGTCTTGTTAGTGGCTGGCTCAGGCTGCAGCTCTTAAAGCTGCTCTGCTGTCTTTGCTTGTGACCTGCTTTTTTGCCTTGTGCTGCAGCGTGTTGCACTTTTGCATACAAGAGTGACACTTAACAGTTAACAGAATCCACTTAACAGTGGATTTTAAACAGCAGTTGCTTTATTTTTTTCTGAGTGAAGTTTTATCTGGTTCTGGCATAATCCTCTCTCTGCAAAAGTTACACTTTAGAGCCCAACTTTGCTCTTCTCATTGCCCAGCTTGCTGCCTCTGACATATAGAGTGGCCTTGGGCAGTCTAAATGCACCATCCTTTGTCACACTGTGTCTGCAGCTTGTCCTAGGCTCACTGGGGAGAGCTGTAGTGAAAAACAGTAAACTGGGACCCGGTTAAAGATAACCGTGGTGCCTGCAGTGTAGGGTTGAGAGGTATTCCCAAGCTTTGCTGAATTTACTAATACTTAGGCTATAGATTAGTATTTCTTCTCAATCCAGCAATATCGTTTCAGCAGCTGGGGCAGTTACATTTTCATTACTGTGTGTCAGCAGAAGGCTGAATCTTCACAATTCTTGTGCAAGCTGCTGATCTGCCATAGGTAGAAATAGTTGGTACAGATTAACTACTTAACTTTGTGGTCTGACATTTTAAGTGTTGGTGTGGTTAGCAGTTAATTTCCTGTATTAAAGAAAGTATTAAAAAGGAGTCAACTTGCATGATAATCTAAAGCACTCTCTGCAATGTGAAATGCAGAGATGGGAACAAAGAAGTGGAGAAGAGTTTGCATCTGAATAAATGCTTGAGCTAAAGAATAATGGCACTCTTTTCCAGGAACATCTGTCCTTGCAGCATTCACTGGATTGTCATTGTAACCCCTCTTCTCTCTTCTGGTTTTGAAATACAAGAGTGCAGCACCCAGCAGGCATCCCAAGAGCTAGTAATGAGCTGACAGAAGTTGTTCTATTCCCAGTGTGCTGTGCAATAAGATGCCAATATGTTAGACCCTGTGATGACATGCCTAAAAGAATGACTTCTTGGAGAGGAGGTGACTTCTCCCTGGGGCTTTTTAGGAGAGCAGGAGTAGCTTCCAGTGCAGAACAGGTGAGCGTGCCAGCTGAAGTGTGCCCTCATGCAATTGTACCAGGTGCTTCAAAACACTCAATGGCATGGGGAAAGACCGCAGTAGAGGGTTGGACTGGAAGACATGGGTTAGGACAAGCAAAAGAACTGAGGCTGTGTAATGGCTATTACTGGGCTCAGAGGTCAGATGCTATTTAAGAGGGTTTTTTTTTTTCAAAAGCAGTCTAATACAGTCAGGTAATTTGTAGGTTCTTTGATCTCAAAACTCTGTCTTAATCTAGCAGTGGTAGGTAAAGGGGAAAAAAAGTTTCTGCTTTCACTTCTCCTCAACACCAGGAACAGCTCCTCATTCGTATGAACTATGTGGCGTCACTGGGACCTACCTGCCTGGTGTAGCAGACAGGAATGCTAGTGCAAGACAGAGAGTGTGAACTAAGATTGTGGTGAGTTCAGGATAGACAGCCATGTGTTTTGGGTCACAGCCTTCTAAATTAGGCTTTCCTGAAGGTCCCATAACCAGTAAAGCAGTAAGAGGTACCTCACATACCAGCATCCTGTTAATGCCCGAGACTAACCATGATGCTTCCCCTGCCTCTCTGAGGGCTCCTGCCTTCTCCACAAAAGCAGTAGCTTTCCAGCAGCATAGATGGTTGCTTTGGTGTTGTCTTTTGCTTCTTATGCATTTCCCAGAACTAACGTCATCTTCAGAGAAGCTTTAAGGGAGAAGCAGCTAAAGAGCCTGAATCTTTGCTGTTCACCCTCTTGTACTTAGCTGTCTTGTCATATATTCTGGCATACGTCTGTGAAAGGTTTCAATCACATTTGCAGAATGGTAGAGGAGGAGGAAGTCTTAAATAGTAGAGCTAGTACTAGAGCTTAAATAACTGCTCTGGTCATTCTGATACATCTTACCATGTCCCAGGTTGTTTACTGTCATCTTGCAAAGACACCCAGATGGGCAGCTGCCTCTGTGTTTGCTGGCCTTTGAAGAACTGGCCAGTAATGCTGGACTAACCTAGTAACTGGTCATGGCTGGCCACAGAGGCTTTTCTGACTTGTATCTTGGCTGGGATGGGTCATTTCCTGCCTGAGGTTCCCCAGCTACTAGATATGTCAGAGGCTTTCCCTTGCTTGAGCCTGGAGGAAATGGAAGCAGCATTTCTCCAGGTGGGTGAGCAATGGTGTGTTTATGCCTGTATCACCCCAGGGCAAGTCCTTTCTGAAAGGAGGCACAACCAATTTTCTCCAGTGTCTTTGTAAAAATACTGGTTTTATAACTCAAATTGCTACCAGTAGCTCGTTCTCTATTAACCTCTCCCATACAGACTTACCAGAGTGCTCAGTTACTTTGATAACCATTTCAGGGTTTGGTGAGGATGAGGAAAAGCCTGGAAATGGGCTGTTTAAGCAATAGTTCCACTGCCTGCTTCAACTCAGATACCTCAAGTACCTCTGATAATTCTTGCTTCTTGATGGGTCAGAGTCTTGTGCTCCACTGCAGGGAGTGTTACAAACCTTCAAGGTGAGGATGCTTCAGACTGAGGACCAGTTTTCCTTGGATCCTAGCAGCTGATGTGATCCCCTGTCTTCACATATCTTCTGTTCTCATCTGTCTGGGGCCCTGCTTGTGGGATCACAGTTCCTGCTTCTGTTTGAGGAGCTCTGACCTACATGTTGT